CTCAACAGATGCTACTCTGAGCAAAATTCGTTGAGCTATTCTGGCACACTGGACCCACAAGGAGATAGGTTGGGAGATGCATGCAGCAAGGGACAGCGAACACAGAAGCAGAGGGCAATATCGTCTGTTCAACTTCTCTGCCTTGGACCTGGAGAACTGAAAGAGACTGCTCCTATCAGGTCTCAAGTTGGGAAAACTAGGGACAAACACAGTGATTAAGAGCTGCCATTCTGAAATGGAATCTCTCTGCATCTCTGAGTGGCCCTGTATCTGAAGAGGTTGTTGTCAGTGGAAGCCAGGTAACAAATGCCACTCCCCATCCCAAGTTCTTCCACATCTCCAAGGGAGGACAGCACAGCCAATAGGGGCAGAGTATATTTATGGGCAGGCCGGGTACAACAAGCTGGCTATGAGTCTGGAACAGCGTCAGGAGGATCGGGCTGCCCACTGGCTGGCATGACGGAGTCTGCCTTGTGTTGCTGTCTGACGTACTGATCCAACAGGGCAGTCAGCTGGAGGAGCTGGTGCTGAAGCAGGGAGTGGGTCTGAGCCATGAGGAGGGAGAGCCCTCCTACCAGCTCCCCCTGCACCAGGGCCAGGCTGGGAAGCTTGGAGTAGTTGATGAAGCCCTGCCTGCTGAGGATGGTGTCATCAATGCAGCCACCTGGAAGAACACAGGGTCAGGTGGGCTCCCCCACAATGCCCTTCTTCTCTGAAAATAATGTTCCAACTCTAGGCATTTGCTCTTCATTGCCCTTCCCCTCCTCCCAGACTTCCCCCAAATCCGGTTCCCACTGCTGTCCCACTCCACTCCCACACTGTTGGGGACCGATCCCCTCCCCTCCTTCCTAACTCTTCCCTAGAAAACCCTTACATGATACATCCACCTGGCCTGACCCCCACTAAGTCACTGTTTCCTAAACTTTCTTGAAGACCCATGGAGCATGTGTTTATTGGGGGTAGGGTGAGTGGTGTTATAAACACAGATTCCTGCCCCCGGCAGAGACCTATGAAATCAGTATTCCCTACAGAAGAGGTACCTCCGGGGATTCTTAGCATCAGGGGAGTCTGGGAAACGTTGCTCACTGTCCCTCAGCACCCTTTACTTGGGCTATTTGCTTTAAGGATCTTCATCTGTGTGAGTTTCAGCACCCATCGCTAGACTCAAGGTGTCTGAACTCCTCCCCCCGCAGAGCCCTCTCTCTGCCTTCCCTAGTCCTCCCAGTGCAGAAGTGACAAAGGAGTGAGCCAACACACGTTGGAGTGACACAGGCAGCCCTCAACAAATGGTGCTCTTGACTCAGGGCCCATCAGTGAGAGGATGTCCCCTCCAAGGATGTCCACGGCTTTACCCACTCAAGCCTAGCAGATGGCACCAGGCTGCTGTAGCACCTGCTCCCTTCACCCCACCCTCAACCAGCAGGGCGGCTTGCTCACCTAGCAGGGGTAGGAAAGGCATACTCTTCAAGACTCGCACCATCTCCTTGACCTTGGGCTCTTCACTGACCAGTAGCAGGTTATGCCCCACAAAAAGGGGCAGCAGGTTTTGGTACTTGGAATCCTCCAGGAAGGGCTTCAGCACCTGGAACGGCAGGAAAGAAGGGCTTCTTGGGGACAAGTGGGAGGAAGAGCTGCCCACCTTGGTCACAGGCCGCATGAGGCTGAGGGTGCAACCTGAAGGTCTCTTCAGCACCTAATTGCAGTTCAGGCACCAGACCAGAGGGTTGCTTGTGGAGGGAGGAGTCAGAAGAGCCATATCCAGGCAGAGATGCTCAGGTGGGTTGGCGGGGCCGGGGAACATGGGCAACCCCGCCCGAGGGCCACTCCCTACCTGGTTGGGGAAGACCTTCATCAAGATCTGGTGTTTCCGCAGCTGGTGCCTCATAAGAAGCTTATCCTCCGCACTCAGAGCCACATTCTGGCAGACAGCTATCATGCGATTGTCTCGGAAAACTGCTGCTATCTCCCTACGGAGGAGCCGGACGAGGCCTGTCTCCTGAAGTCAGGAAGGGACGGCTAAGGGTACAGAAGCTGCCTCTTTTCGTTGTACCCCTTACTCCCTCAGGGACAGTGCTGGGGCTTCCAGTGACGCCCAAATGTGTGAAAGATCAGGGAAGAGCAGGATGGGTGGGCCCCCAACTCGCAGAGACATGTTCCACCTCCCACTCTAACCTTTTCATGGTCATTAGATAATCGCAGTCTTTAGAGCAGTGTTTTTCAAACCTGAGAATGCTCAGTCCCCCTGAACTGGTCAGCAGGCTGACCCAGTCAACATTATTTGACAATAATGTCATCAAAATTACTTCAGTTATCCCTCTGACACTGTACTCATGTTGAATTATTTTACCAATTATAAATACAAGATAATTCTTTTGAAGTGTTCATTCAAAACTGAAACATTTTCACAGAACAAGATATTTTCTTAAGACAGTGCTTCTCAAAGTTGAGAAATTATGGCCCTGAGAACTACCATAAAGTTACAAATTCTCCACTGGTCTTTCTGTTCTTTTTCTAAGGAAACCTCTATCGTTCTTCTAGGAAAATGTGGGAGCTTCAAGTCCTTTCCAGACAGGAGAGATACTCTCCCCTACTCCCACCTGCTCGGAGAGCTTTCACATACACATTTTTGGAGACAAGTAATGAACGAAAGAAATTCAGGAAGCCTGTCCAATCCACAGAGCCCAAAGACCAAGGCAGAATCAAGTGGAGATTTCATTTTAAATTGTCTGGACCATGGGGTCAAAGTGGGGAAGTAAGGATGTGGATGACCGTGTCTGGATTGCTACTTCACTATGGCCACAGAGACAAGATCCCGCCACCAAGCAACATGCCCAGTCTCCTGTTTACCTCTGGAGGGGGCTTGGGAGGAGGCGGCAGGCATCTTGGGTCGACAGCAGGTTTGGGGGGGATATACTCAGTGAGAGCCATCAGCTTCTGTCGCTCAAAATGCATCACACGACGGTGGCGAGTAACGGCCTTGGAGCCACAGCGGATAGTCTGGTGGGTGGGCAGCCGTCCTGGAAGGGAAAAGGGCAGCATGGTGAGATGCAGCCTCTTGGTGGCCTTAGCTGGCCCCAGACGAAGAAAAAGTCCACCCTCCAGGCAGAGACAACCGCGGCTCACAGAGCTAAACTCAGCACAGGAGTGGGACAAGGAATTATCTGCTAGGAATTCTGAATTCCCAAACCTTCTCTTCTCTTTAATGAGTGACCTTAGTCAACTGCTTGATCCTTTGAGGCTCCCATTTCTCCAGCTCTTCCTTATGCACAGAAATGGGGAAAAAAGATAAGAACAAAGAAGAAAGTATTTTGAACACGTTAAAAAAGGGAGGACAGGGTTGAGCAAACTTCTTCTTAAATGGCCAAATATTTTGAGAGCCATACGGTCTATTGCTACTACTCAACTCTGCCACTGTATGGTGAAAGTAGTCATAGACAATATGTAAACAAATACATGTGGCTGTGTTCCAATAAAACTTTATTTATAAAACATGGTGACCACCCTTGCCATAATTTGCCAACCCCTAGTCAAAGCCAGTGGTTCTCAAAGTGTGTCCCTACCCCACCACCCTAACCAGCAACATCAGCATCACCTGGGAACTTGTTAGAAATACAAATTCTCAGGGCCCATCCTAGACCTACTGAATCAGAAGCTACTGGAGTGGAGTCAGCAAATAGTGTTGCTGATCCAAGCTGAAGTTCGAAAACCACTGCTGTAAGTACTGCTCTGAAGCCTTCTCCCATGATTTCAAGCAACAGGGGAAAAAAGTTACACAGCCCTTACAGCTCCCCCAAACAAGTCTCCCTTCCTCTGCTCTTCTCGTTTACAGGCATCACTGGAGAGCGCCCCTCCGAAGACAACGGAGCCACTTCAAAGCCCTGAGCCAAAGTGATTCCTTCATCCTTGACAAAAGAACCCAAGCTAGAGCTCCCCACTTTCAGCCTTTCCCAAGATTGGGATGGGACCTCAGGGAAACGTGGCTCTAACAGTCAGAGAGCATGGAGAATTGCTGGGGTGAGAGGTTTTATTGCCAGTGGCCACAAAACCTAACTGTTAAGAGCACAGGCTTTGGATCAGATGAAACCAGATTTTTAATCTCTTCTGCCACTTACAAGCTGTGACCTTGACCAGTCACTCAAATGATCTAAACTTGGATCTCTTCATCTATAAGGAAGGGATGACAATGCCTTCTTCGCAGGGTGCCATAAAATTTAAACGACATAATACATATAAAGCACTTATCACTCTGCCTGGCCTATATTATGTCCTCAAATTCACTCATTAAGCAAATATCTATTGCATGCCTACTAACGTCAGGCACCATGCTACCTGCTATGGTGAATGAATATGGTTCTGCCCTTACGGATTGTAACAGAGGAGACAACAAACAAACAAATGTAAAATTAAACTGTGAAGTGGCTAAGGGGTCAATAAACAGGGTGCAATATACAGATTTAACAGGGGAAACTTTCTCTGCAGAGCGCGGCCAGGGAAAGCCTGAGGAGGTGGCATTTAGGCTGAGACCTCAAGGAGGCATAGCTCCAAGGTCGGGCCGGGTCCAAGCATACGAAACTCTCGAGGCGAGCAAGAGCTGGGTGGTGGGTTACAGAAACCCAAAGAAAACGAGGGACTGCGGCGTAGAGAATAAATATTGCGGCTGTCGTTGACATTATTGCAGTGTTGCTGTTATTAGTAGACTCTGGAATCACGGGGAATTAGATGAGTGAAGGAAGCCAGCGATCTAGCTGGGGTCATCGGAAGCTGTCTGGGGTCAGAGATTACGGGAGATCAGTAGTAGAGGAAGGGAGACGAGGACTAGAGAGCACCGGCCGGAACGAGCCCTCCGGACCTGGGCTGTTCCTTACCCGCCTGGGGCAGGAGACCCCCTCGCAGCAACCCAGCCACCGCCACAGCCATCGCCACCGGAAAAAGCTATGGGAGCCGAGAAAGACGGAAGGAGCTAAGGATTGTGGGAAGCTCTGGGCCCGGAAGAGGCGGGCAGATCCGTTGGCTGGGGCAGTAATCCGCATGCGCTGAGCCGGGCAACTGCGAACCCGCCCTACCTCGACGCCCCACCGGGCGTCTCGTCTCCTGGCAACGACGCCAGACTCCTAGGCACCGCGCTTTCCTCTCCATCTGCACCCACAACCCGCGGTGTGCCGTCCGCAAAGCCCCTCTACACTCTTCAAACTCCAGACCCTCCACCTCCACTTACTTTTGTCTTCTACCCCACCTCAGCAATTTGCCCTGAATCAACCCCTTTCCCTTGTTCCCCAAGTCTCTGAGTTTCTCCTCATGCCATCTTGAGTTCCGCCATCCCCAGGGACGGTCCAAGCTCCTCGGCTCCTCTCGTTCCAATCCCGCCCCAAGCCAGCAGCCTTGGGATCATGCCTGGAGGTGAGTAGGAAGGTGGAATGGTGGGTAGAACAGTTGGATAACAGTGGGGTCGGGCCTCCAAGAACAAGGAAATGTAACAATTGGACTCATCTTTTCACAGCTAAGCTTGCCCAGAGTCCAGAGGAAGGGGGCGTGTGCATTACTGAAGCCCTTATCACTAAGCGGAACTTGGCCTTCCCTCAGGATGAGGATCTGTCAGAGAAGATGTGAGTGCACGGGGGAGGAAAGGGGTGCTGGAAGATTGAAACACAGGATGACTAGTCCCCTGAGCTGTACTGATTTGTCAACTCATTTTTGTCCCTCTCTTTACTTACTTCACACATTCAATCAGTGGTAATGTCCAATTAATTTTCCTTCCTTAAAAATCATTGTTTCTTTTTCACCATGCCCACTCAACTGCCTTAGATAAGGCTGTCATCACCTCTCAAAAACTCCTCGTCTCCCTGCCTCCGGTGCAGGCTCCCCATACTGTTGCCAAAGTGATTCTTTTATTTTTTTAATTTTTTTATTTTTGTGAGGAAGATCAGCCCTGAGCTAACATCCGTGCTAATCCTCTCTTTGCTGAGGAAGACCGGCTCTGAGCTAACATCTATTGCCAATCCTCCTCCTTTCCCCCCCCACCCAAAGCCCCAGTAGATAGCTGTATGTCATAGTTGCACATCCTTCTAGTTGCTGTATGTGGGACGCGGCCTCAGCATGGCCGGAGAAGTGGTGCATTGGTGCGCGCCCGGGATCCGAACCCGGGCCGCCAGTACGGAGTGCACGCACTTAACCGCTAAGCCATGGGGCCGGCCCCAAAGTGATTCTTTTAAATGACAAATCTGATTAGGCACTCCCTGATAGAACCTTCCTTGGCTCCCTAGTACCACCAGAATAAAATCCAAACGCCTTAGCATGAATTGACCTCTGCTGCCTTTTCAGCCTTATTTCTTGCCACTCTCCACAGTGTGCAATTCCTCTAAGACCCCATGTTCTCATACCTTAGCATCTTACTACTCAGAGTGGTGCTGGGGGACAAGGGGGCGTGCACAGCAGCATCAGCATCACCTGGGAGCTTGTTAGAAATGAAGAATCTCAGGCCCACCTCAGACCTACTGAATCAGAATCTGCATTTTAACAAGACCCTAAGGGATTCATGGGCACATTAAAGTTCGAGAAGGGCTGGATTAGCACATACTATTCCTTCTGCTTGAAATGCCCTCTCCTCACCTTCTTGGCTAACTCCTACTCATCTGTCCCCTCCTCTAGGAAGCATTCCCTGATCCCCCTACTCTGGACTCAGTGCACAGCCCATGTACCCCCTTAGTCCCTTGCACTTGCCTCTGTCATCCACTTGTCATAGATGTTTGGCCTGCTTCCCTAGCAGTGATAGGCAGGGACTCTCATTTGTTTCTAGTAAGCACACAGTAAATGTTGTGGAATTAATGAATGGGTGGATGGAACAAGTGATTTTCCCTCCCTCTCAAAAGGGAGGAGAGGAGGGATCTTCCTGCAGGATTGTCTCATCTCTGTCCCAGCCCCTGCCTCCACCATCCACGCTGGCTCAAGGTGGGCTGCCCTTGCCTCAGTGTCTCTCCAGCAACCATAAACTGCCATCACCCGGTTTCCTGGTCCAAGGGCCCTCCCACCCCTCTCACTCTGATCCTTCCCAGTGCTGCTGACAGAGGTCCAGGTCTCCAAGTCAATCCAGTTTCATGATCTGGACACCACCTCACAAGTCAAGAAGGTGCTCCTGACATCTGGTCAAAGTCACTTAGCCATCCACCCCTCCTTGAAACACCTCCCTCTACACTCAGCTAACCCCCTGCTGACGCTTCTCCCAGGTTTCACACTCTTGCTGAACTGCAAACTGTCCGCCTGGACCGGGAGGGGATTACTGCTATCAGGAACCTAGAGGGCCTCCAGAATCTTCACAGCCTCTATCTGCAAGCGGTAACTTCTTGCCCCTCCCCTTCCTCCCCCCTCGCCCCATGTGGGTCAAGTCTGTCTGATCTGAAAGGAGCCAACCAGATCATCTTGCCCATTCTCTGGTGTTCAGGCAGGCAGACTTTTGTTGAAACCATCCCCAGGTGAAGCAGGAATTCTCCTGAATTGAAAGACCAGTCCTCCCCAAAGAGATCCTGAGCGTGTTCTTGAATCACTGTTTTTTTTTGTCAGATACTTCTCTTGGTTTAGAAGTTCTTCTTGGTGTCTACCCTAAATCTCTCATGTTACATAGCTCGAGCCCATTGCCTGTTTTGAAGAAGAGGAAGAGGGAGCCAAGAAGATTACTCTGCATCTTTTAGAACCTTGAAGGCTGGTGGTGGTGGTGGTGGTTGGTTGAATATGCTCATTGTTCCCTCCACGTATGCAAGCCACCACCAAGGCCTTTTCCATTTCCCTGTGGCCCCTTGGTTTCCTTCTCTGATTTCCAAGTCACTCTGGTTGTGGGGTGAGCGGGATACACTTTAATCGAGTTTAGCCAGCCCCAAGTTTACACTCTTAACCGTCCACCTGGAGAAAGCAAGTCATCCCAGAGTAGTGACCGCTAGTTCAAGGAGGGGGTGATCATTCCGAAGGTGCCAGATCTCCAGCTGTAAGAGTGAACATGGTCTTGGGGCTTCATCCCTTTAAAGAGTCCCCCACCGAGCTGACCTCAGCTTGGTTTCCCCACCTTGGCTTCTTCCTGCAGAATAAGATCCAGCGAATTGAGAACCTGGCCTGCGTCCCCTCCTTGCGGTATGTGGTGCCAGGGCTCAGGAAGGGACGGCGGGGGGCAGGAGGGAAACGTGGTAACGCCCAAAAAACTGGTTCAGACCTCTGCAAGCCTGGCTTCTTGTCAGCTGAGGACCCAGCAAGCCTAGCTCTGCTTCCCTCACCCCAGAAAGCCATGTGTCCCCACTCGTCATCTGGGTGCCTAGCCAGGGGGTCTAGACGCCTGGTGCCCTCCTCCCCCCACCTCTAGCTGTTCTGTGATTCACCTCTGTCTCTGCACCCCCCCTTTCCCTACAGCTTCCTGTCTCTAGCAGGAAACCAAATCAGGCAGGTGGAAAACCTCCTTGAACTCCCACACCTCCAGCTTCTGGACCTTTCTGAGAACCTGATAGAAACACTGAAGCTGGGTAGGAACGCACTTGGCCTGGCTCATGAATAAGTCCTATGTGGGGCCTCCCTCCTCTCTGCCCCCATCTCCCTGCGCTTCCATTAGCGGCACATCTTCCAGCGGGTCGCGGTGCTGTGCAAAGAGTTAGGGTTTGGGCTGGAAGATGGGTAGGAGAGCCTCATTGCCCCTCTCTTTGGTGCGTGCAGATGAGTTCCCCCAGAGCCTTCTCATCCTCAACCTGACTGGAAACAGCTGCACCAAGCAGGATGGCTACAGGTGAGGAGGAATTGAAGGTGGAAGAAAGGAGTAATGGCTGAGTTCCTCCTAACTCCACCTGGGCTCCCTCTCAGCCTGCAAACCTGAGGTCACCGTCCATGGCAGCTTCTCCTCCCCTACCCCAGCTCAAGTCAGCCCTTTTTCCTTTCTACCTCCATAACTCCACATGTAGCCAGCCCTTAGCTCTTGGATGCTGACCACAGGCCCATCTCCCAGCTCCTGAGCCACCTTCCCCCGGGTGTGGGTGTGGGTGTGGGTGTGGTGGCTTGTGTGTTTGCATCCTCCCAGGCTCCACACCCAGGGGTGCCCTCCTGGGTAGCCTCTGCTCTTTCTGCCCTGCAGGGAGCTGGTGACAGAAGCCCTGCCACTGCTCCTGGACCTGGACGGGCAACCTGTGTTAGAGCGCTGGGCCTCGGATGAGGAGGAGAAAGCCTCGGGCGATGAGGAGTTCCCGGAGCTGAGTGGCCCGTTCTGCTCAGAGCGAGGTGACCCTGCTTTCCAAGGCTTGCAGCCTCCCCAGAGCTCACCCCGCCCTGTGAGGTCTGGGGGAAGCTAAGGTGGCAGTGGTGTCTGGGGAGGTGGCCCCAAGCCTAGATCAGCATCTGGGCCAGAGGAGGACAATGCACCCAGGGCCAGGTGTCAGTCCGGGCATGCAGGTCACACGTCCTCCCCGCCCCAGCCTCAAGATCCTTCCCTAATGGGGATGACAGGGGATAGTTTGCTCAGGGGGTCAGCCAGAGACCTCCCTCAGCCCAGGGACCCTCCTGCCGAGCCCGGGGCTCCATCCACCACCCCCCAACCTGGCCCCTCACAGGCTTCCTCAAGGAGCTGGAGCAGGAGATGAGCAGGCACAAGGAGCGCAGGCAGCAGGCAGCGCTGACGGAGCACCTTCTGAGGATGGAGACACAGCCAGCCCTCACTGACCTCCCCGTGCTGCCTGGCGGCCCTGTGGCTGGGGACAGCAACCATTCTGTCACTGCCAGGGAAGGGAAGGAGACACCCCTTGAGCCTGCCTCCTTGCCACAATCCTCCTCTGCCACCAAGAAACCGTGCCCTCTGGTTTCCAGGGGCCAGCAAAGCACTGTCGAGGCAAGGAAGGGGGCTAGAGCAGCTGCAGTCCCTCTGGCTGGAGCTCCCAGCACCACTAAAACTAAGACCAAAAGAGTCAAGAAATGAAGCACAGCGCATCCCATCAGCAAAGGCACAGGCACAAGGAATGGGGGCGAACAAGGAGTGGGGTGGGCTCCCTCCTTCTCAGAGCCCTCGCCTGTGGCAGGAGCCTAGCCCCAATAAAGCATCTCTAGGCCCTGAATATGTCTTCCATGTCACTTGGGGGCATGTCAGGGGAAGCAATCAATAAAAGGCACCGGGAAACAGTCACAGGAAAACAGCCTTAGTGAGCAGCCTGACTCTAAAGAACAAGTTTCTTTCTTTTGTTTTTTTTATAATTTTATTTATTTATTTATTTTTCCCCAAAAACCCCAGTAGATAGTTGTATGTCATAGCTGCACATCCTTCTAGTTGCTTTATGTGGGACGCGGCCTCAGCATGGCCAGAGAAGCAGTGAGTCTGTACGTGCCCGGGATCCGAACCTGGGCCGCCAGCAGCAGAGTGCGCGCACTTAACCACTAAGCCATGGGGCCGGCCCAAGAACAAGTTTCTGATCTTTCAGGAACTACCCAAAGGGCTGTCACCTTCTCAGGCCCCCACCTGGCTTCCTGGCTCCTGAGTAGGCAGGAGGCGGGCATCACCTCGTGGAGCATGCCATCTCCTGGTGGACACATCTCACTGCCACCCCTATGGAGTGCCCTTCTGAGGTTCAAGTCAAGGACAAAAAACTCGTGGTTCTAATTCTCCCCCAAATAGAAGCCACCTACTGTGCCAGGCATGATCTTTCATGCACAAACACTCACACACCTGGGGAGGCCACCTCTCCTCACAGGCCCCTCTGTGACCTTCACCGTCTAGTCCCATCCCCCAAGTCAGAAGAGTCTGCAGCCCTGCAAGGCAACCAGAGGCCCTGCGGCCAGCTCAGAGCTGCCCTTTGCCCTCACTTGGCTCTCCCACCCCCACTGGACCTGAGATCAAGTTCACTGAACAAGGAAATAAAAGACATTTATTAAGGCAAAGGCCGAGCTGGCCACTCAGAACAAGGCTGAGCGGGGTGAAGGGATTGCTCTGATCCCACTACCCCAGGGTCCTGCACCCATCCCCCAGCCCCCCGCACCCCAGCCCAGGCTGAGAGGAGCTGGGGTGCTCAGGCATACACCTGGCTCTCCCTCTCCACAAAGGCCTGGAAGAGGCCGCCCAGCTCCTGGGGGGGTGGGGTCCACTCCCCAGCCAGCAGCCTCCGCGCAGCCTCCAGGCCTTCCTGCTCCAGATCCCGCTGCTTCTGCTGGAGCTGCTGCCCCCGACCCTGCCCAGGAGAGGTAGAGATGAGCCCCGAGCACAGAGTCCCAGGAGCTTCCCTCCGGATTAAGGGGGGCATGTCTGCTGTCTTGCACAAGCAGGAGAAAGGACAGACCACCCGACCTTCTCCTGGGCAGCTGGCTTTGAAGGGAGAGACCCCTCTCCCCAGCTCTCAAGTTTCTCCACTCCCAGGTCCCCTCATATTTCCAAAGTCCAAGTTGGGGGTGGGGGAGGTGAGTCATCCCCCGCTAGGAAGGGTAGCTCCTATTCCCTGGGGGTTACCTGCTCACTCTCTATCAGCCCCAGGGCCACCTGGTGTCCACGGTAGAGAGTGTGCCGGCGATCCACCTGAGTCTGGAATCGGGGCAGGGTCCGAGCAGGGTCCTGTGCTCCAAAAGTGGGGGAGAGCACCTGGGGGGCCTGGGCTGCCCCAACCCCAAAGATGAAAGGTTTGAACACTGACCTAAGGGGACACGGATGGAAGGATCGAGGGCTATCACACTCCTCCATCTCCCCTGCCTGGCACGCTCCCCAGCCTTCCCCACCCTCATTCCTCTCACCTGGACGGGTCTGGTGTGGCAGTGAGGAAGTGAACGCAGGGCTGTGTGGGATCCCGGGGCAGGATGGACACCATGCTGGCCGTGGTGCGGAAGCCTCCAGAGTCCATACAGATGCCACTTTCCTTGTTCCTGAGGATGCCCATCATCACCTCTGCTGTGATGTCCCCTGCCAAGGAGGACTGGGTGAGGTGCCTCCAGGGCAGAGGCGGGACCCCTGGCCTCAGACCGAGCCTCCCGAAGCTGCGGAAGCGGAGAGAGGCTGGCATGGCTGTGGCCTCCTGGCCCCCCACCCCCCGCCCACCCACTGACCTTGCTGCTGCTGCAGCAGCTCCTGCCCGGCCCGGACGCGGGCCTTGGCGGCCTCCATGCGCACGGGCTGCTGGGTCAGGGAGAAGACCTGAGCGAAGTCAAAGGTGCTCTGCCCACCCCACCAGCCCTGGGCCCGGGCATGGGTCTGAAGCTCGGGGTGTTCTGCCGAGATGTCCGTGCCGATGCTCAGCTGGTTGGAGATGTTGCGGGCCCCCTCTGTGGAGGAGATGGGGATTGCTCATGTATCATTAAGCACCTATTCTGTGCCAGGCGCTAGGCTACGTGCTGAGAACATGATGGTGAGAACAGACCTGCCCTCATGGATGGGGAGACAGACAGACACAGAAATAAATGCGAGCTTGCAACCGTGGTGAGTGTGATCAAGAAGAGGTGACTGCTTGCATGTAAGGGGGAAACCTGACCACCAGGAAGTCCAGGAGGGCTCCCCAGAGGAAGCGGCAGGCTAGAGCACAAGAGGACTTAACCAAGTGAAGGGGGGAGGATAAGTTCCCTTGTGGGCTCATTTCCCATCTCCCTGGATGTCCCCCCAACCCGAGAGGTTTGCATCTGATTCGGGCCTCCCCTGGCCCCGCCATCTTTCCCACTCCCTCCCAAGGCTGGCAATAGGGGAACACCTCTGGGAGGCCAGACCCATGCCAGGATCCTCACCCTGGATCCTCTGTGCAGCCCATAGCCTCCCTGCCGTCTCCAGCACCCACGCCTCAGTCCGGTCGGCCAGCAGGAAGGTGTTGTGGTAGCAGAATGGTGTGGGGTCCTCTCGGCAGCTGCCCCCCTGCCCGTAGCGCTCCAACAAGCCTGTGATCACGTGCACAGCCTCCTGGGCTGAGCTGCTCCGTTCTAAAGCCAGCCTGGCACAAAGAGGTCCAGGGGATAGAAGGGCGATGGGGGATCAGTGGCTGATGGCAGGAGCTCCAGGGGACAGAAGAGGCCCAGAGCAGTTTGATGACAGGCCCAAGTCACACAGAAAATCTGCCCACATTGGTTGTATTCAGCACAGTTAGGCCAGTGGTTTTCAAGCTATCTCCGAGGGTTCCATGAAAAGGTCTGAAACATAGCCTTGGGGAGACACATGTCCTGAGCCCCCAACCTCTCTTCAATCAGAGCTGCTCCACTTTATTGGTTTTTATAAATCAGGACTCTACATGAGATTTCATTTGAAAAAAATTTACTTCTGTTGAAAGAAAAATTAAAACCACTGCAGTATTTCTGGGCCAGCAGAGGCCCAGAGGTGGCCACATCTGTTAGCTTCCTACCAGACTGTGGAGATGGGGCCAGGAGAGAGGAGGGGCAGGGGCGGCCTCCTGGGTGAGGACAAGGTGGGCGGAAGAGAGGCCCTTGTGAACCAGGCTTCGGGGAGGGGAGGATGACCTGGGTCAGTACTCAGCCCCCAGACTTCCCGTGTGTGGAAAAGATGAGGGAGGGCGGGGTCCGCACCTGAGTAGATCCATGCCCAGCAGGGCTTCCCCCTCCCCAATGGGCTCCTTGGTCCACACGGCTTCGTTGCCAATACAAACACCATGCTCATTGGCGCCCATCTCAGCCCCCCACAGCCAAGAAGGGCGGCTCAGGATCACAGCGTGGGTCTTCGACACCTGCTCCACCTCAATGTAGGTGCACTGTGGGTAAAGGAGGAGAAAGGGAGAATCCACTCAGAAAGGGGGAGGGACCTACAAAGTGCTGGCACTGTACCAGTCACCTTAGCTCTTTGAGGAAGGTCTTATTAGTCCCATTTTACAGATGAGGAAACAGATCAACAGAGGTTAAATAACAGGCTAGGTCCAGATTGGTAGACTCGAAGCTCATGCTCTTTCCACCACATCTGGCGGCTTCCCAGGTGTGGGGAGCGGAGGAGGAAAGTTTTAGAAGAATGCCTAGATCTGCCACACCTCCTGGCACCCCATAAAGTCTAACCCACCTGGAGCTGGCTCCCAGGAATGTGAGTGCCTGCTGGTATAAACACCACCTCCTGCACTTCGTCCCGGGGTCGGTCAGAGTTCTTGGCAAAGATCACGGCTGGGATGGCCGAGGCAGGGGGCACTGAGACAAAGCAGTCGCAGGAACATGGTGGGTCAGGGCCCGATGATGCCATCTGGGGAGACGTAGGAATAAGCGTGTCTCTCCCATGCCACCTCTCCACCTCCTGGCCAGGGCGGAGTCCTAGGGAGCCTCTCTCTCACGATGTGCAAAGACGCTCCGGGAAGACACTGCCCTTGGGTTCTGGACCCTCAGCACCCCACGCACACTCTACGCAGGGCAAGTGCAACGGAGGCACCCACTCTCTCCCCAAGCTCCAGGCTTGGGAGTCAGCAGGCAGGCGCAGACCCTGCACGTGAGGGCCCTGCCCTACTGGAAGTCCTGGACTCTCGGCGCAGTCGTGGCACCATCTCCCTTGCTACCCAACCCCTCTCCAAAAGTCTCATGCCCGTCTTCTGTCCACCCCTTCTGGCTTCCCCAATACTGTACGCCCCTCACCCTGTCTCCCTCCAAGATCCCCAGCTTGGTCCCGAGCACTACCGCCTCCGCTGCGGGTCAGGTCTGTCCCATTGGGCGGAGACTCCCAGGTGACCTGGAAGGCCTTGCCCAGGGGCGGAGCCGGAACCGAGCACCTGCAGTTCTGCCGTTTTCCACCAGGGTGCGCGCCAGCACCACTTCTTGCAGCGGCTTTCCAAGTCCTGCCTGGCTCCCTGCCCTTCCCGGTGCAGCTTTCAGGCCAGATAAAGGCTGGAACTAATCCATGGGCTCCTGCACTGAGGTCACTGCAGGGAGCTGGAGCTGGGGGTGGAAAGGAGTCTACGTGAAAGGGAAGGAAAGAAAAACTGGGCTCATTTGTTAGAGAGCAGGGACCGCTGGGGCATCTGGAGATTAAGGAAGGACTCAGCTACTTGTGTCTTGATTTGAATTCCCAAGACACAATCCCAGGCTGATGTCTGGGAGTAGGGTGGGGGGAATAAGACCTACAAGAGTAGTGAGACCAGGAGGTGTAGGGATAACTTAAGTTAATGCATTTTTTTGAAAAGGCACATATACACAAAATCATCCAACCCCCAAAAAGCCTATTCTGCCCTGCAGTGCTCAAACTCACAGAAGGATAGCTTTGAAAGGAAATTTGGAAATTTTCTAGTCCAAAGATTTGGTGCCTTTACATATAGTGAAACTGAAACAGCAAAGGAGAAGTCTTGGCCAAAGGGGGCACACATCAGTGCCGAGCTGGACTCTGATCCCAAATGTTCTGATTTCTGGGTCATTTTCCTCTATTAACCATCTCCCTAACCAGCATGTAAGCAAATGCATCTCACACCCTTATGCTCCATGGAGCTCCAGGAATGGGGGAAAGGAGACACTGCAGATTATCTACTTCTCCCACATCCATCCTGCCAACCAATCAGACTGCTGCTCAGAGTCCTGGCCACAGCTTGCGGTCACTCCCGGGATGGGAACAAAGGCAGAGGCCAAGGCTTCCCCAGGAGGCAGGCTGGTGTGCTGGGTGATGGCCAGAGGAAACCTGCCAGATAAGGGTGTTGAGGGATCTGAAATGTGAGATATTTCCTAATTGCCTCCAGGTATACAAGGCTGACTCCTAAGAGGATGCTGTCTCTAGGGAGACAGGCTTCACTTTCAGAAAGCGGACTGCTACTTGCAGAGAAGAATGACCTAGAAGCTGGGCTGGAGGCAGAGAAGAGCATCACTTGGAACTCTGCAGACTGGCATCTCATCTTGCTTCTGCTACGGATCTACGGGGTCTCTCTGGGCAGTAGCTTTCCCTGAGAGGGCCTCGGTCTTCCCGGTGGGGAAATGAAGGCATTGGACTAGATCAGTGGTTCTCAACCATGGGGAAGGTGAGGAGGGATTATCTTTCAACCACGCAACACCCACTGCACAGCATAATACTTTAATACGATTTAATACAAAGTGTCCTCGGACTGCCAGCATCAGCATCATCTGGTAGCTTGTGAAAAATGCAGAATCTCGGGCCCCACCTCGGACCTCCTGAACCAGAAGCTGCGTGTTAACAGGACTCCGAGGGGTAAAGTTTGAGAAGCATTGCTCTAATACACCCCCAAACGACATAACTTGGTGGGGTATTGGGGAGTGAATTGAGGTCTCTTGAAAAACTCCATGGGTGATTCTAATATGCCGTCTACCAGGTGGGAACAACTAGGCTACTTGATTCCTAAGGTTCTCATATCTCCACTGCTAGGATGCTGAGCAGTCAGGCTCACTAGGATTAATGGGTAAGAGAAGGCTGCTTTGGGTGTGATGTCCAGAGGGGTTGTAAAGTTGCCACTGGATGTCATTCCAGAAGCAAACAGCAAGGCTGTGTGCTGACCCAGAGGAGCCTGCAGGAAAGCCGGTTTGCCTCCTGCACTTCCCCAGCTGCCCGCTGTGGGGCAGGAACAGGCAGGAGGAGAGGTGTGGGCCGGCCGCAGCACAGCCCCAGGCTGCAGTTCCCAGGCTGCCTTCTCCTCTGTCACTTTCTTGGTCCTGATTTCACTCACCCACCCTAGAGGGATTCTACTCCCACTTCCCAGGAGAGGAGATGGCAGCTTAGAGAGGTCACCCAGAGGGTCAGCCCAGATGTTCTGATTTCCCTAACTACCTCCCAGCCCCTCCAGGATTGTCTTGCCAGGGGCGCCAGATCTGAGGGGTCAAAAGTGGCCTTGGGCTCCGTCGGGGGGGCCAGGCCAGCCAGGCAGCATTGCTGCCAGGGCGAGCAGCGAGCAAGCAAGCGTCAGAGCCCCACCAAAGGCCCCCGCTAAGAATGCAGGTCAGCGGGAGGAGCTGCAAGGGGAGGAGGGAGGCCAGCCCTGCCCAGACAGGCCCAGCCGGCCCCACAGCTGCCCTCCTGTCCCTGGGCGCAGCGAGGGGGGAAAGGAGGAGAGGACTCGCCAGGCTCCCCCAGAACCAGGAAGACAAAAGAGGCACCCCAGCGGGTGGGGTATGCACGAGGTCCCTGGAACACATGCTGGTTCTTCTTCCACCCAGACTTCTAAATCTAGGAGCAGATGGAAACACACAGTTGGCCCCCTAGACCAGTCCGGGTTTCCCTATAACCCTAAACCATTCTGATGCCCCCATCCCAAGGTGGCCTTAAACTTTATGACCCCAGACTCTCCCAAACAAGTGATGGGATGGGCCAACCTGGGTACCAGATTTGGCTCCGAGAAATTGGGTTAGGGTTAAAGCGGAAGAGATAGGAATCCCACTAAGGGAAAATAATAATTTTGGCCAAAATGTAGGATGGGAAGGTGAAAGAACACAATAACCTACCCTGTCCCCTTGGAGCCAAAAACTGATCCTCCTTCAACCTTCCCAGCTTTGGGGCTCTGGAGTCGCAGTTTTTAACTCATTTGACATGAATTAGGTACCAACTGCGTAGCGGGCATTGGGCAACCTGGGAAAGTGTGTACGGATGGGCATTTCTGCAGAGCTGAGGGGGACCGATGGGGCCGGCAAGGGTACATTGGTGCACTCTGTGGTTGTGTAACTGTGGCAGGTCTCTAGCTAGGAGTTGCAGTAAGAGCCTTTCCCTCATACTTTCCAGCTGGGCGGGGGCCCATCAGATATCTTGGCTGCCTTTCATCGCCTTGTCCCTGATAGGGATCATCCTGGGTGAAGAAATCGCTGTCAGTCACCCCCCACCTCACTCACAGCCAGAGGGACCGATTGACACAAACACACACCCCCATGGGGGCGGGGTGAGGGAGCCAAGAGGCCGGCTATCTCTGGGAAGGAGGGAACCAGCGTTTTTGGCAGGGGAGGGGAAAGAGGAGGCTTGTATGTAGAGAAGGAAGGAAATATCTAGGACCTTCTCATCTCCACAGGTGAAGACCAGGGAGGGACAGTCAGCCCAGCCATCAACCCCCAGGGAGCTCCTCCCTCCTTCTGCACCAACCACCTCCGGGGCAAGATCAGACCCTTCAATCAGCTCAGCTCTGCTCCACACAAAGGGAGGTGAGGCTGCCCAGGGCTGCAGGATCAAAGGGAAGTGTCCACCCCACCCTGCAGCTGGCCTGGTCCTCACTGCTGAGGGACACTGAGTCAAAAAGGAAACCCAGCTGGAAGACAAATGAAGCAATGATGTGGTTGATGCCTTTATTATGACATAAAAAACACAGGCTGTTTCTTCTTCCTCCTCCCCCCACCCCCCAAAGTGGGTTCACAGCAGTTAAAGAAAAAAAAATCCTACATTTCTCCTCTAGGGGGCTGCCTAGAAGGGGGTAGACAGCCAAGCAACCTAGATCTATAGAAGGGGAGCAGAACACCTATCCAAAGCCCTCACCCTCACACCTTAGAGCTTGGGGCCTCTATGGGGGGAACATCCATGTCCCCCCACCACCAACATCCATTCGGGAGTTCCCCTTAGAATGGTCACTGGGAAAGGCTGTCCTGGTGGCACAGGGAGGGGGTGACTGGTTTCGATGGGTGGAGGAGAAGGCATCCCAGACTCACGGTGCCCTCCCTCTCTCCCCCTCTCCACCTGGCCAGGCAACCTGCAGGCCCTGGCAACTCACTCCCGCCCCCAACCCTCTCAGCAGGGAAAGGGACCTCGAGGCGGGTTGGCAGGAGGTAGGGAAAAGAGGGAGCATAAAGAAAAAACATTACTTAAAACTACCCCAGGCCCATGAGTCCCTCAGGAAGAGTCACCCCGTCCCTTTTAAGAAGGGCTCTCTGCTACACAAACACCCACCCAGATCCCAGCCCCACTTCCCATAGAGCTCCTAGTCCTTGGACTGGGCTCCAGCATCCCCAAGGGAGGAAGTGACGCTGTGGGCCTAGGCCCCCGGAACTTGGATGGGGTGAACAAGATGGGGTCTCCCTGGCTGGAGACCCCAGGCTCAGTAGAGAAACACACACACAGGTACACACAACATGCACACACACATGCCCTAATATTAAATAAAATACCCTTTGCTTATAACTTAAAAATCAATACACAACTAATCCTGGCATAGGGCTCTGGGTGGAGAAAGAGGGGCAGGGGGAAGGGGAGGTGGGGGGAATCTTAAGACCCGGGCCTGGAGCCTGGGAAAGTCCAGACCCCTCCCCTACCAGCTTCTTGCCCTTTGCCTGGCTCAGCCTCTGCTGGGCTTCTCCCCTCGCCCATTCCCCACTCCGTGATCACAAGCAGGGTGCATTTCTAGCATCTAAAGAAGGGAACAGGGACAGCTTCCTGGACATCACCTCAGAAGGCAGACCCCTTCCAGTGGGAGAACAACTGCTTCATAGGGAAGGGGAGTTTCCCCCGTGAGATGAGATGGAGAGGAAGGAGCTCCTAACGCACACTCTACAGGAGGGGCAAGGCTTGCAGGTGGCAGGGAAAAGGGAGGGTTACGCTAAAGAAAGTGGGGCTTAGCTTCTCAGAGAGCAGGAGATGCTGGGAGGGGCAGAGTCCTCCACTCTGAGGGGGAACCGCTGGAGGTCCCCCTGCTGGGAAACCCCCACCTACCCCCAACCCACCAAAGTAACCCACCTCCTCCCACCCCTAAGGGGAAGGTGAACGCTGGGGGACCTAGGATGAGGAACGACATCAATTCTAGAGCAGGGGCCTCTGGCTGCCTCAAAAGCCTACGTGGGGTAGCAGATAGGGAATGCGGACAATTGAACTTTATTTTTTATAAAGACCAAGAGTTAAGGACTGAATCCGGGTTAGAGAGGGAAGGGGTTAGTTCCTTACATTCCCCCAACAAATCCCCTTCTCCCATTTTAGAAGGGGACTTCCTTGCTCACCGCCCACCACCACCACCAACTCTCTCCTCCACCCCACAGCTCTGGCTGGGAGGCTGTGGGATTCTGGCCCTCTTCCCCTCTTCCTTCATGGCTACAGCAGACTGGGTCTGGAAGGCTTAATAAGGAGGCGCATCAAAGGAGTTATTTCTACAGCAAAAACCTCCCAGCCAGATAGAGACCCCTCCCTAAGGGGGACCCACAGCCTCCTCTACCCCATCTCAACCCTCCCTCCGGAAACCCCAGGGGTAGAAGCACTATAAGGGGGATGAAAGGGACCCGGGCCGCAGGGCGGTTCCGGAGGCGCTTTTATGTCCCGGTTCCCAGGCGCTAAGGACGTGTCCAGACAGCTACCCTCAGCGCCCAGGGCAGCCCCACTCCTCTCTGCTCCGGGGACGCGCCGTTTCCTCCAGCCGGTCCCCTCCGCCCTCCAGCCGCGGTAGGGGTACCCCACCCCAACCTCCCAGCCCGGGGCCGTGAGTGAAATAGTGAGGCAGGGGAGAACAGAGGGGCATGCGCAGCTCCTCCCCGCCCAGCCAAACGCGTCCGGTCCAGCCCCAGAGACTAAAACACCCCTAGTGCCCCCTCTCCCTGACCCGGCACCACTTGTCCTCCCCCTCAATAAATAACCACCTTCTCCTCATACTCCAGCCGCCCCCCAAGGGCATCAGGCCAAGGGGCTCTCTTCCAATGCCCCCAGGGGAGACCAGCGGGGAGGCGGTACCGAGGAGCTCAGTTGGGGGGAGCCGCGCTGCCCTCGGCCTCCCGCTTGCCTTTGCCCCCTGGGGGCTCCACCGCTCCGCCCGCCTTGCCCTCGCCGGTGGCCGCCCCGGCAGCCTCCTCCTTGGCGCCCTCGTGGGTTTTCATGTGTTTGGCCAGGTGGTCGCTGCGCATGAAGACACGGCTGCAGACCGCACAGGGGAACTTCTTGGTGCCCGTGTGGGTCTGGAGGTGGCGCTGCAGCTCGTCGGAGCGCGTGAAGCGCTTGCCGCAGAAGAGCCAGTTGCACACGAAGGGACGGTCGCCGCTGTGCCAGCGCAGGTGCGCCTTCAGGTGCGATGTCTTGGCGTAGGCTTTCCCGCAGCCCGGGATGTGGCAATTGTGCAAATGCTTCTTCTTGCCCCCATCGGGCCCGCACGGAGCCCCCAGTCGCTCCGCCTCCAGGCAGTTGGGGCAGCGGCACACGGTCTGGCCTGAGCTGCGGGGCACTGACCGCCGGGAGCCTTTGGGCCGTGCCGCCCCGTCCAGACTGGAATCCAGCCCCTGGGACTCCGGGGCGGCCGCTTCCAAGGCCTTAGCCCCGTCGGGAGGCCCCAGGAGGTGCTGCCCTCCGGCGGCTGGGAGGAGGTGATGAGGGTGGGGCTGGGGCGGCGGGGCACAAAGCTGGTGGTCTCCGACGTAGGCCCCCAAGCCAGCCTGAAGCGCCCCGGGGTGGCCAGGTGAGGTCAGAGCGCCCTGAGTGTGGGGGAGGTCCATCCAGCTAGTGCCCGGATGAAGGTCCCACCACGAGCCATCCTCAGTGCCTGGGTGAGTCGGCCGGAACCATGATTCGTAATGGTGTGACATGTCCGGCTGCAGGAGCTTGGAGAAGGGTCCCGGGGCCAAGGGACTGTCGCTTTCCAGGTCCTCGCAGGTTACCCGAGAGGAGGCCCCCGGCAGCTCATAGCCCTGTGAGAAGTCCACCTCCGGGCCCAGCGGGAGGCTCTGCAGCTCTCCAGGCTGCAGCGGGGAGGGGTAGTCCCCGGCCTCCGGGCTCGTGTGGCCCTGGTACGTCTGGAGGGGCTGCAGGTCGAGGCGCGGCGGCGAGGCGTGAGGCGCGTCCGTGTGCTGGCTGCCCAAAGAGCCGCAGACAGCGGTTAGCATTGCCGGGATCCGGGGTGGGGTGGGGGACAGGGACGGTCAGGGGCACCTCAGGTGGGACCTAAAGGAGGCAAAGAAGAGGTGAAGTGAGGAAAGTAACCAGCTCGCTTTCAGTCCTAACCCAGATCCCCTCCCTGCAAAGCGCTCCTCTCCTGTCCCCAGGTGAAAAAGAGGAAGGCATCCCTGGGTTGACTGAAGATCAGCTAAGAGAATTTGGGAGTGCTAGGAAGGGTTGAAGGTGAGAGGTTCTCAGCCAAGGGCAGAGGATGATGGCAGTCTACCTTCCCCTCGGTGGCCCCTTCTATAGGACCCAGCTCCTCTCCCAGGCTGGTAAGCCCAGAGACCCTACCTACAGTACAGCTAAAACCATCCCCACACCAGCTGCCCAGGCCAGCGAAAGGGGCAGTGAGTGGCATTTTCTCCTGGCGGATCTGCTGCCAGCCCAAATGGAGGATCTAGACCCATCTCAGCTTACCCAGTTTAACTCAGGACACTGATGGGGAGAGGGAGGTGGTATGTTTCTGAAACTCAAAGCTTAGGTGACCTGACATCCCAAAGCCCAAAGCCGGTTCTGAGATTTTGGAGAAAGAGCCCTCATTCCATCCTTGTGGCATGCTCAGTGAGGAAGAGCATTTCACAGCTCTACACCACTCCCCTCAGGGCTGAGTGCCCTGCCTGGCTGGGCCAACTCAGCCCCACCAAACCCACTTCCACGCCTGGCCCCCACCCCTTTCCCTCAGGCGGGGACTTCACCTCCTTGGGGTGCAGCTGCAGTGCAGTTTCCGGGAGACTTCTCCCACCAGAGAAAGCTAAGCCCCCTTCCCTGTCCTCGTCCACACTGGTGCCAGACAACTACTCATGCCCTCCTCCAATCTAGGGGGACCCAGATGTGAAGCTGGGAGGGGTCAGCTTCCCCAGAGAGGGGAGTCAGCCAGAGGAGAGCTTACCAGCAAGCTCAGGAAAGTAAAACTGCCAGCCCCTTAAGGGATACAGGGTCAGAGTGGATAAGCGGAGGGCAACAGGAAACGCCAGCATCTCAGAAATTAAGAGGAAAAGTGACCTAAAGAGATTATATAAGCGGGTGCAGTCTAGGCATGGATCATTTTTAGGAGCTCCCCAGATGATTCTATTATACAGCCAAGTGCTGAGAACCACTGCTTCAGGCCAACCCTCTTATTTTAAAAAAGAGGAAACTGAGGCAGTATTTAGAGAAGAGACTTAAGCAAAGACATTCATTTATTCACCAATCAACAAATATGTACTGTGTGTACCTCTGTGAACCAGGTCTCTCCTCTCCTGGTCTGTTACTCTTTCCCCAAATCATTGGGAACCTAAAGACCTCCCCCCTTTCTTGACCACAGATCTGTGACTTGAAGGTCCCCCTCTCCTCAGCACCTCTCCCTGAGGCCCGCGAGCCCAGATGCCTCAGGTGTGAGGTTTGTGTGCTGGAGCCTTCTCTGATGGGGGGGGCGGGGGACACACAGTGGTTTGGGATAGGGACTTCTTCCCACAGCAGGGCTCAGCTGACCCTTACACCTTCTGCCTCTGGGACCAGGGAGGTGGCCCTGGTAGTCTGGGAGAGGGAGGAAGAGGGGGGCTGGGGCGCCTACTCAGGCTCCTGCTGCCTCACCACAAGAAAGGAGCAGAGTGAAGCAGCAGAAGCGAAGCCTCAGGCACAGGCGGGGCAGCCCAGAAGGGGCTGGGCGGCAGCAATGAGGCCTGGGACCCTAATAGCTTTTGGGGCCTGGGAACTGCCCCAGGGAATAGGGGTGGGGAGCCTAACGACCCAGGCTCCAGATTGGCCTCTCTCCACACAGGGCCAGGGAGCCCAGTCCTGGGATGCAACGGCCGGCCAGCAAGGTTTCTGGAAGGGAGACAGCAGGGCGCGCACTCCCGGCTTCCCGCTCTCCAACGCGGGAAGGAGGGTAGAGACACCCTCCTTCCCCCTTCCGCCGGCTGCCTCTCCCGATCACCGGCGCTCAGGTGGTCAGGACTTCCGTACTCCCGGTCCTCAAGGTTCCAGTCCTCTGGTTGTCCCAGTCGCTCCAGTTTCCCCGGTTTCCAGTCTCCTCGGTCCCTCCAGTCTCTCCCGTCCGCCCAGTTTTTACTCCGCCGGGGCTCTAAGCCCCTCGGATTCTTGAGGACCACCTCCCCCAGGGCCATCGGAAGCTATGGCACGTTCGGGGCGCGTCTTCCCGAGAGGATCCCCGTAGCGCGCACCCCTCGCCGCCCCGACAGGGACTCCTACCTCGAGGCTGCGCTCGGGCTCCGGGCACGGCTGGCTGGCGCGCTACAGATGGGCGCTCATAGGCCCTGCGCGCCGGCGGGCTCTCCACGGCGAGGGGCAGGAGCCGAGGGCGAGCGGGGGCCGCGACCAGACCCGGCGGCGGGCGGCGGAGGAGGGGCGGAGAGAGCCGGCGGGAGGGCGGAGGGCGGGCGGGAGCCAGCGAGCGAGCGAGGCCAGCTCCGCCCGTGACTCACCCGCGCTCTCTGCCTTCATCCTCTGCCCTGCGCTCCTTTTTCCCCTGAATTCGCGGCCCCGCCCACCTCACCTGCGGCCGCCTTTAACCCTTGCGGGCTCGGCCGGACGAGAGGCCCAGCCCGGCCTGGCCGGCGAGGAGGGGGCGGGCGGGGAGTGGGGGAGGGATCGCTAACTAGGTCGTCTCCCGCCGCCTCCCTCGCTCCTCCCTCTCCCCTCCAATCTTTGGGCGAGGGGCCTGGGCGGAGTGATTCTCAGGTCCTGAGACCCGCCCCATCGGGTGGAAAACTGCCCTCGAGCTGGCTTGGTCTGGCGGGGGACGCAGGACTCAGACCCTGGGGGAATGGAGGAGGGGGCGGGTCCTGGGGGTGATGTCCAGCCACATTAGGGTGCCGTTTGCCTTGACGGCCCTCGGCCCACGCGCCCGGGCCGGGCAGCACTGCCCCGGAACTGAGACGAAAGAAGGAAGCAGGACAGAGCGCCAAGTATGTGTCCGGTCTGCCCCCAGGCCTAGGCCGTGAGAAATTTGTCTTGGCTGCTGCCCTCCTTCACCATTCCCCCCGCCGCTTCTCTCCGCCATCACCACCATCTCCCGCGTCCTTGTCGCTCTCGCTTTGCGGTTCTCCCACTCCAGCCGCTCGCCTTTTTTGGGTGACCTCCTCCTTTTCTCTCCCCACCCTCCTCCCCCCACCCTATGAATTCAGGATTAGTC